CTAAAATATACCTGTCAGTCGCAGAAAGGTTACAAGTTTAGCTTAGATAAGATATGTACCTACTCAGGTCATCTAAAATTACGTTTCTTTTCGAATATTAACTTGCTTTTTTTAATAGTTATGTGAGTTTTGAGTTAAATTCCTGGGTCAGGCAGTAATCCAATAATAGTTTGTTGGGTTTTTATAGGTTTTTGATGGTAATTTTTATATTTAAGAACTAGATTCTGCCAGCGGCTTCGCCCGAGTAAAGTAGCTTATTATATATGTTATTCCATACTATAATGTACCGCTGCTGTTTCAAATTTCATCCCGATCCCTCCAGCCGTTCTGACGACATTAGGTATTGTGTATACACACAAACACACAAACTTTTGCATTAACAATATAAGACAACTACAATAGGGTAGATGCCTAATTTTTATTTTAATGTCCGTCTGGTAGATTATTTTAAACCATTACAAACGTATTTTTTATTTTCTTACAGAAACGAATTCTTTCGACGATATATTGATTTGTAATGTCGCGTGACGTCACTTCTATGTACATTTTATACATAGAAATGACGTTTTAGCACCCACTCCTAAACTTTGATTCGTTTTATCTAAGTATCGTTTTATTATACGACAAAATAAAAAGTACCTACATGTCTAATATTTTTTCATTACCTAACTTACGGACTAATTACATTTTTAATTTTCATACCCTGTCATCATCCCTATTCTTTACAACAATAGGTGAATATATTTAGGGTCCTTTTAAAGCAAAAATAATATACCTGTGTTAGGAGATCCTATTCTATGGTACTTCTATAGAAACTGGTTACTAAACAAACCAAACAATGGTACACCTCTACCTATTTACTCAGAAGCTTTGAGTTTAAAGAATTTATTTCTCATAAGAACAGATACATTGTTCACTTAAAATGAGATAGGTACAGAGGTTCCTTATCTTCTATGATACATAATGACAAAATCCTCTAGTGCGGTAAGCGGTTACATTTATTTTATTTTAACGGGATTTACAATGTTTGTCCATGTTCCTTAAGTTTAGTTTTAAATGCCTTAATGTTATCGCAGTTTTTTATGTCATCTGGTAATCTATTAAACAGCGGTGCTCCCTCAAACAAAAGCGTTTTTTTTCCATAGGTTGTTCGTGCCGTCCCTAGTTCGAGTTTATGTTTGTTTCCTAAGTTGTGTGTGATTTTTTTCTATGTAACTGTATGTTTGAATGGCATTTCTGGAGCAGATCCGGAAACCTGTTGGCCTCGAGACTCGATATTGACAATTAAAACACTTAAACCACACGTGACATTATTTATAAATGTAGATAAATATTTGTGTATAGACAAAATAACTAAGATACATAATTTACATAAATATATAATCAAATATAGTCACGTGTTTGTATCACAATATTGTGAGTGCTATGTCTAATCAGACACATGTTTTGATACATACATAAACTAGAGTATCTAATATACTAATACTAAATGTTTCTGTAATGGGTGTTTGTTCATAATTCAAGTGTGGGAGGGCCATGCTTCGGGAGTGATAACTCCGGTCGAGCCGACCCGGCCACGGCTTCACAGAAAACCGACGTGAAGCAACGCTTGCGTTGTGTTTCATCGTGTTAGAGAGGTTACCGGAGGCCCAATTACCCTCCCCTTCCCCAATCTCCCCAATCCCTGAATCCCCAACGATCCTCAAACTCCTAATCCCCAAAAGGCCGGTAACGCACTTGTAACGCCTCTGGTGTTCCAGGTGTCCATAGGCGACGCCGATTGCTTACCATCAGGTGATCCATATGCTCGTTTACCGACTTATGCCATAAAAAAAATTAAAATACTAGCGACGTACTTATGTATCCCAGTATAAGTAATACTGTTGTTTCCCAACTTTCTCGATTGATGAGTGATTTTTATTTTCCGTCTTTTCATACAGTCTCTAAAACTGTTTTCACTAACCTATCTTAAATTTAAAGTACCCCCTAAGCTAAGTTACGTGATATTTAATGTTATTTGTTTTCTCCTCCAACTTCTAAGTGATACCTAAGAAAAGAGTTAGTTCAGATGCTACATCACGAAAAGTAATTTTTAGTTAAGTGATAGTTTAGGAGTTGATGAAAACGGCCATAAGTAGCTTATACTTTTTTGTGTTTCTATAGAAATCTCGTGGTATTTTCTTAAAATATTATACCACACGCTCGACGACGATTTTATCGAAATAGTTCAGCCGTTTCAGAGCTTTGTACTTAGCAAAACAATTAAAGCATTTTGATAACAAAGTAGTTGATTAATAAGTACCTAATTGAATAATGGTTGTGTTGGCCCGGAGATTTAAGACGCCAGCTTCTCATGCATGAGGGTGCAGGTTCGAAACCTACCAACGGCAAGTACCAATGTGACTTATTCAGAATTATATGTACTTTCTAAGATAATCTAGACACTACTGACAAACCGTAAAGGAAAACATCTTGAGGATTATAATTTCTAATTATAAGTTTGTAATCGCCAACCCACATTGAACAAGCGTGGTGATTAATGCTCAAACCTTCTCCGTGTGGGAAGAGGCTTTGCTCAGCAGTGGGCATTTATAAGTTGTTGATGTTAATTGAATAATGGTAGATCATCTTTAATATAAGCCATAGGGAAATACTTATTGACCATGAACACATTACAATATTACCTCATTTATAATTTCCTTATGTTAAGGGTTTTTTTAAGGGGGGAAAATCATCGAATGACTGCTCCCGCCTGGGTGAAGCGGGAGGGAGTGTCAGACTCTTACTGACTAAAAACCACCCCGTTCCTTCTCCTGCACGTCGAGCCGGAGCCCCGGTTACCCGTTAGGTTCTCCGCGACAATATAATGCCTACATTAGGTGATCTTCAACTAATTCAAAACCGTTACCGGAGGCTCAATTACCCTCCCCTTCCCCAATCTCCCCAATCCCTGAATCCCCAACGATCCTCAAACTCCTAATCCCCAAAAGGCCGGTAACGCACTTGTAACGCCTCTGGTGTTCCAGGTGTCCATAGGCGACGCCGATCGCTTACCATCAGGTGATCCATCTGCTCGTTTACCGACTTATGCCATAAAAAAAATTAAAATACTAGCGACGTACCTATGTATCCCAGTATAAGTAATACTGTTGTTTCCCGACTTTCTCGATTGATGAGTGTTTTTTATTTTTCGTCTTTTTATACAGTCTCTAAAACTGTTTTCACTAACCTATCTTAAATTTAAGGTACCCAACCCCTAAGGTAAGTTATATGACATTTAATGTTATTTGTTTTCTCCTCCAACCTCTAAGTGATACCTAAGAAAAGAGTTAGTTCAGATGCTACATCACGAAAAGTAATTTTTAGTTAAGTGATAATTTAGGAGTTGATGAAAACAGCCATAAGTGACAGTAAGTGAAACAACCAGAGTGTCTAAGCCACATACTTTGTGTTCTTTTATAGAAATCTCGTGGTCTTAAAATATTATACCACACGCTCGACGACGATTTTATCGAAATAGTTCAGCCGTTTCAGAGCTTTGTACTTAGCAACACAATAAAAGCATTTTGATAGCAAAGTAGTTGATTAATAAGTACCTAATTGAATAATGGTTGTGTTGGCCCGGAGGTTTAAGACGCCCGCTTCTCATGCATGAGGGTGCGTGTTCGAAACCTACCAACGGCAAGTACCAATGTGACTTTTTCAGAGTTATATTATTTTGCTTTCTAAGATAATCTAGATACTACTGACAAACCGTAAAGGAAAACATCTTGAGGATTATAATTTCTAATTATAAGTTTGTAATCGCCAACCCGCATTGAGCAAGCGTGGTGATTAATGCTCAAACCTTCTCCGTGTGGGAAGAGGCTTTGCTCAGCAGTGGGCATTTATAAGTTGTTGATGATAATTGAATAATGGTAGATCATCTTTCATCTAAGCCATAGGGAAATACTTATATACCATGAACACATTACAATATTACCTCATTTATAATTTCCTTATGTTAAGGGTTTTTTTAAGGGGGGAAAATCATCGAATAACTGCTCCCGGCTGGGTGAGGCGGGAGGGAGTGTCAGACTCTTACTGACTTAAAACCACCCCGTTCCTTCTCCTGCACGTCGAGCCGGAGCCCCGGTTACCCGTTAGGTTCTCCGCGACAATGCCTAAATTAGGTGGTCTTCAACTAATTCACAATTGTACACGTAATAAAAATATGTATATTAACCTAGATACCTACAATATTCCTAGTAGTACTGAACCTACAAAACGTGACTATAAACTATTAGTAATTGATCTACAAACTAGGTCATAGGTCATTCAGAAATTAACTTTACATACATTGAAATAAAACTGAATCATTGAAAAAAGG